CCCCGCACCAAGTCAGCCGACAGTGCCCGGGCCCGCATGCCATGTGCTGCCGCGGTGCCGGCGGAGCCTGCCCGCTGCTCCCTGGGGGTCAGGGTGTCCTCGCTCCCCAGGGACAGCGAGGGGACAGGCTTCTTCTGCCCCACACTGCTGCCCCCTGAACGTCCTCCGACTTGCCCATGTTTCCTGTGAAAGAAACGTGTGCCTCCTGTAATAAGCCACTGACCTCCTTCTCTTCTGTTATTTCTTAGTCATCTGATTCATTGCACTGCCTATGCGTTACGCTGCCATCACTGCTCTTCCACCCGTGCATCAGCCCCCTTTACATACCACGTCTGCACAGAGACGGTGTAGTTACACGCATAGAACGGGGAAACATACTTCTTTGAATCCCAAGAGCCTTGATATTTGTAGTTGAGATATCTTACTATACTTCAAGAAGTGAATCTACTTGGTTGTCTTAGGACACTTTTAATCTCATAAGTGTATACCATCATGAATACTTCATGCTTGCTTCTGCCTTGTATTATAGTCTTCCTGCTGTGGTGAAGAGTGTTGGTTTCCAATTGTCACTGCTGTTTAGTGAATGTCAGAAAAAGAAACATCGTTTTGTAAGAGAGTCCAAGTGAAGAAAAAAAAAAAGGATCCGTTCTATTATTATTTTTGCTCTTAATAATAATTGATTGCCTTTTGAAAGCATAGTGAGGAATTTTTTCAGTTATGGTTTTGTAATTATCTAGTTTTACACTATATATAAGTAATTTTACTAATTAAGAATATTGAACATAGCAGCTTCCTTTTAGTTTTCTTTCTAACCAAGCCATCTACTCTTAAATCCAGATGAAGAGTCTGATAAGAGGAAAATGTGCATGCTGAACTATAGAATTGTCTATTTGTACTGTGTGTTTCCTGCAAGAACATTTTGAATTTTGCTAGGTACTAATTCTTCTTGTGACCGTCTACTGTGAAACAGTGATAAGATCCAAGAAATAATATAGTTGTTATAATATTAAAGGACTTTATTTTAATATTCTCAATGTTGTTGCAAACACTGGCTAGCAAGGGGAAGAAGGACAAAGTAATGGTGGTTGTAAGTTTTGAAGAAGAAAAGAAAGGAGCCTGGGGGTCTTTGTGTTAAGTGGTGGGGAGATAACAGTTACCTGGATGCAGGGACATGGTGCCAGTTATTTAGGTGTGAGGAGTAATGTCTGACTGAAACATGCTACCAAGAACGTTGGTTTAGTATATAGGCGACTATATACTTGGAGATACAGAATATACATGCAAAACAAATCCAATGTAAGTAAATGTTCATTAAAATGACTCAGTGCGACAGCAAGTCAAGAGAGTTCTATAGAAGTGTATCCTTGAATGTGAAGTCTTTGAGCACAAACTGTTCAGTTTGACTTCGAAATTCAGTGTTACTTCATCAGGTAATCTGTTGCCTGCAGGCTGCATAAAAACATTTTGTTCTGAGGCCAGCAGTAGTTTTAGGATCAGTGCTGATTTAGAAGAGCACAATGTGCTTCATTTTAAGGAAACAAGGGCAAGGCCGTTGTCTCCCAAATAGCATATGGCATCCGTGTTGTCTTGGTTCAAACCACAAGTCGTAGTCAACCAGATATCAGTGGCTGATGTGTCCTTAGTATCAGTGAGAGACTGGAGTGGGTCCTCAGCTTCTTCTCCCCACAGTAACTCTGCACTTTGAAGACTTGCACAGGAAAGGTGTTATCTTACTGTGCCATTATTGCCTTTAAATTGTCGTATAGAGTAATAGTGGTGACATAAACATAACTGCTAGTACTGTGCTTGTTGGTTTTATATTACTATATTTTCCAGACATCAAGATACATAGATGGGTATGCTATAGATATTAGAACAAATTTTATCTTTTATATGCTTCTCTTATTTCCTTCTTCAGCATTACACAGAAAATAGTATTATGGTAATGAAATACTGAAATTAATAAGCACAGACTCTTTTATGGATTTTAATTTTTCCCCTTGTTAGAAAGGAACACTGTTCTATGAAGATATTGGGTACTGTATTACTGCTTTAACATACTAGCACACCAACTTTTTAGTAGAGAATGTGCAAGACTGCAAACCAAAAAGATTCCATTTTTTAAAAATGCAGTAGTTTCGAATTATTCATACAAATATAATTTGAAACAGCATTGAAACTCTTCTGTGACAAAATCAGTCTGTTTTTTTTGGCAGTGACATTACTAATTCACTACTTGCATTGGTTACCAAATGTAAAAAACACATGGAAAGCATTATGAAACTTCACATTTAGAACTAGTTCAGACATTTGATGTGCTCCTTGTGATCATCTGCACAGGTAAATATTGAATGTTTTCCATGTAGGGTCATATAAAGAGAAAATAATTTTATTGTAAGTTTGGACAAAAAGATCTTGTTGGACAAAAAAATGTAACCATGAAGTCAAGTGGGAAGAAAAACATAATGAAAAGTAGGAGAAATAGGTTGTGAAGATGTACATTATATACCAGTTTTGTAATTGAAAGAGAATTTTGAATGTGTTCATAGAATAAGATTTGTCATAGCTTAAAATTACCATTTTACCTCTTTTAATAGGGAAAATTGTTTGGAGGATTAATGAAAAGGATTTACTGTTTGCTTGTTATTGGAATTAGCAAAATACTTATTCTAGATCAGTAGATAGAATCTCAGTAGCAGACAGCTGAAAAATAACTCAGTATAACTTTGTTGTGTCCTTTATGATACATTGTATTGTATAAATACTTGTTGCTAAAAGAAAGGCGATATTAAATATAACTTGCAGTGCTGGATTAAATAATACAGAAAATGTGTACATCGTCAGTTCAAAATTGTACAGTTTTCTGAATAATCTAGTCTTTTAAAGTGTAATATAAAACCAGATAGTTGAAGAGTTTGGGAGTGGGGAGGGCAATCAGGAAGTTTCATATGCTCTGTAATTATTGAAAGGATTTTTTAAAAAAGAAGTTAAAATTAACTTTCCCATGCAGGTGTGCTGTTTTCTGGCTCCTCTAAGAAGATAATTTCTAAATTTTACAGTTTTGAGCTACTTGAGGTACATTGTAGCACCTGAATTTTTTTCATATCTCTAAATTAGAGATAGTATCTACAGATAAATTGTTGTTTTTATTAATTTTACAGCACTCTAAGACAACATAACACCAGAATTACATTAAATTTAAGAAATCTTACTAAATTAGAAAGGGTCTGAACTAACTTCTGTTGAGATTAATGATAAAATGCCTGTTTATGTCAATGCGAGTGCTACTGGCTTTGCTTTTGACCAAAATCATGACTGATTACATGATGCTTTAAAGCATAAGGTTTTGTTTGAAGAATGTTTCAGAAAATTCCATTGACCCTTTAAGTTGATTTCTGGATGAATATAATTGTAACCATGAAAGAAAACCATCTCATGCCCAGTTCTTAAAAAAAGTCATTCAAGTTGATGTGAAATGATATTTACATGAAGATTACTGCTTCCTATATATTAACAGAAATAAAAGGGTAACTCTTTGTGCCCTCTGGTGTGAATATCCTTTCCAATTAGTACTTCTGATCAACCTTTGATTGGAATAAGAAGTGACAAAGAAAAATACACTGATTTTTCCTGCAGTCTAGGGTACCCTTCTAGCATCCATTCTGGATAAGAATATTTCAGGTGGCTGATGTAGTTGATACTATGTATGCTTTTTGTGTGTGTGTCCTGATTAAACCAATTACTTAGAGAAACAATAGCCAGTATGAATCTCTTACCAGATCTTGTCATGATTTTTGTTAATTGGTTATGTTATTGTGGCTTTGATCTCCCCATGTGTTGTGTTAGTGAAAGAAGTTAAAGACCTGGCAAAGCTTATGCTAATGTAATGGTTATTGTACATTCAGTATGTATTCAGTGTAATTGTGTTTCCATGAGAACTTCTTTTATATAAACTAGAAATAAACTATTTTAGTATTACTGTTGCATCAGGAATATTAAATGAGCTCTACATTCCTCAGCCCGTTATATTAACACTTGAGACTTTTCTCCCCCAGGTTTGCATTCACCGTGTTAGATCGTGCAGCAGCATTCGCTTTATAAAATCAAAATATGTGTGCGTGTTTGACAAATCTACCCTCAAGTTTAGTCATCAACAACGATTATTCAGAACATCTGCTGGTAATCTTTTTCATAATAAAATAATTTATTTTATTTTGCAATTTTATGAGTGTTATGTTAGCGGTTTGTATATGACTGGTGTGTAGACTATTTTTGATGCATTCAGATTTTTCTATCTGATATATTTAATATTAAACATGCTGTATTTCCTTATTGTCTGTTTTAAGTTTCGTGTGGCCAAATTGTCCAGTTTAAGCTTTCTGACATTGGAGAAGGGATTACAGAGGTGACTGTAAAAGAATGGTAAGAGTAATCCGCAAGTAGTCTAACAGCTGTATTATCAATTATTTATCTGAGAATATGTTTTCTGCGTTACTAATGAAGTTTTTCAAGTTTAATTTTCCACATTTTAAAACCTTATATATAGTGAGCTTTACATTTTGTTTATTTGCAGTTTGGTTTATTTGGGAGTGCAAAAGGTGGAAGGAAATGGGATGTCCTAACTGCACCTATATATAGGCTTTCCTTCAGTGATTAATGTTTTTAGAGTGCAGGAGGTCTATCTTTTATTATACTTACTTAGGCTGAACTTTAGAAACAAATGACTTGTCTGGAGAATCCACATAATTTTGTCCTATACCCCTTCTCTATTCACTTATTAAAAGATTTGAACATTTGTTTTTAAAAACGCAATGATGAACAGATTAAGCAAAATCAAAGTGTACAGTGAAGGGAGGGAGTGTTGAAATGCCTTGTTCTTTGTAGAAATAGGTGAAAATACCTCTGCATAGAAGAGACTGTTTCCCGCTTTCAGGTTTTTTTTCTGAAATTGATCGTATACTGATCCTGGCAATTTGAAACGAAGAACTTCCTTAGGTTCAGACTAAGCTGGGCTTATTTTTAGATGGCTTACAATCTCTCAAGAAAACTCTGCTTTACTAAAGTAATAGTAAAAATATATGTGTGATGATATTCTAAATCATTGCATCATTTCACACAACAAACGGTTCTGGACCAGTCAGGCAAAAGGTATATAGCAAATGTAGAATTTGTCGTCTTATCTGGAATGCACTTTCATGCTGTGGGGACGTACATAACTGAACTTATCAAAAGAATACACAGCATAGATATTTACACTTAATATGTGTTATACTAGCCTGTGTCTTTTCTCTTAGGTATATAAAAGAAGGCGATAGCGTGTCTCAGTTTGATAGCATCTGTGAAGTACAAAGTGATAAAGCCTCCGTTACTATTACTAGTCGTTATGATGGCATTATTAGAAAACTCCATTACAATTTAGATGAAATTGCTTATGTTGGAAAACCATTAGTGGACATTGAAATCGATGCTTCAAAAGGTATTGTAAACCTTTTTTTTGTGTTGCATATTTTATGGTTGTTGTCATAAAACCATCAGTGACAGGAGTTTACTTTTTTCTCCTGAAAATCTTAAAACTGTATTATTTTTACCCTTTATAAAGTCAAGAAAATTAAGTAGAAAAAGCTGTGATATCTTACTAGGATTTAAAATCTCAAAAGTCAGGTGTTTCCTGTTGAAAATTTAGCTTAAGCAGCAGCCTTTAGAATTCTGTATTCCCATCCACAGCAGCTCAAAGTAAATGTTAAAAACTTCAGCTGTCACAGAGTCATAGAATAGTTGAGGTTGGAATTTAACAAATGCTTATAATGTAGTAAAGTTAAAATTTTTCCTTTTGTTTGGAGGTCTTGCCCCAGAGGAAGATGTTGTTGAAACACCTCCTATGTCTCATGAAGAGCACACTCACCAAGAGATAAAAGGTCACAAAACATTAGCAACCCCTGCAGTTCGTCGTCTTGCCATGGAGAACAATGTAAGTTTGCTGAATCAGGTCCTGCTGCATTTTATCCATTTTTTTGTATAGCAGTTTGACTGACTAGGAGAAGATTGATCTAGAGGAAAGTGCAGCGAGAAATTACTTGTTTTCAAACATATTTCAAATGTGTATAAACTGTTGTAAGGATGAAGAGGATTGTGCTTTCTGGTGATTATGGTGGATAGGAGAAGAATTACTGGGCTTAAAATGCAGCTAGGATGCTTTGGGCTGGAGATTAAAAAAACCTTTTTAGACTAAAAATAATAAAGTATCAGAATAGATTGCTGGAACAGAGGAAGGAGGAGGGAAAAATGGAATCTCAGCTTTTGCTACCTTGTTCTGTTTTTCAGATTTGTATTAGAGCTGAGGATGTACTAGGTGATCATTTAAGTGCTTTTCAAATTCTTTTTTCCTGTGAATCAATGAATATTCCATTGTTTTTGAAAGCTCGTGTGGCATTTCTAGGAGAAAAGGAAACAATAAGTAGAGACAATTAAGTGACAAATAGCTTTCCTCAAATTAATATTTCACTATTGATCCTGTGAGGTAATTAAGAGGTAAGTAGTACTCATAGTTCCTCCTTAAAGTTTGTGATTGGTCACCGAGTGGGCCTTCTGGATGATTTGAACAATGTTGAATACCTAATAAATCATAGAAAGGGGAAAAAAGGTAGGTTAGATCAGTAACTGGAATAATTTTTAACTGTAGCTGACAATATAGGATATGTTTATATTGCTGTAAAACAAAAGCGTTATAGCTTGTTATGTACTTTTCAGATTAAATTGAGTGAAGTTGTTGGAACAGGGAAGGATAACAGAATCCTTAAAGAAGACATACTCAATTACTTGGCCAAACAAACAGGAGCTATTTTACCTCCATCACCAAAGGCTGAAATTATCCCACCTTTGCCAAAATCAGAGACTGTACCAGCTGCCTCAAAGGACAAAGCACGTAAAGTTCCTGTACCTGTTTCTAGACCTATTGTGTTTTCAGGAAAAGATAAAACTGAACCTATAACAGGTAAATCATGAAATATAAGATCTCGAGACTGTGTTCACAGTAGACTACCAGTAAATGTTACTAAGTGAACAGTTGATTCCTTTTGATGGAAGCGTGTTTCATGTTATTGTCATGGAAGTGAGCAATAGGAAAATGTGCTCTGTTTCATGAAATTATTATTTTATGAAATAATTGTTCATGTTTTGATTGGATGGAGTTGGGCTTCAAATTGCACTTGCTCATTTTTAATCTGTGTTTCTTCAAATGTATGCTGAAACAGGTAGGAATTCTAAAACACATGTGAATTTGTCACAGTATGAATCTTTATGCAATTAGTGGCAAAGTGTGGTCAATTTAAGGGTTTATCAGTGCATAGTAATAGTGTACTTCAGCATTCACACTTGTCCTGGAGAAGAGTGCAACAAAAGACACTAAGTAAACGAGTAAGATAAAAGGTTTTTGCTTGCCTTTCATGCAATGTTTATTTGGAGAGGCTGGAAAGAGTAGTGCAGATTACTGTATTATGATTTCAAATACATACATATATACATAGGAGAGATATGCAGTAATATAATCTGAAATATTACAATTGTAAAAATTGAGTTGCATGTGCTAAAAAACTGTTGATCCTAAAGTGAGCTTTACCCTGTCCTTTTTTTTTGTTTTGTGGTTGGGTTTTGGTTTGGTTTGGGTTTTTTAGGTTATGTAATTTGTTTAATGGAAACAAATAATTGAAATTTCACCATAACTTCCCAGAAGCTCATTTTGTTGGTTTAAGAAATCAGTGAATGTTTTTCCAGGTTTTCACAAGGCAATGGTAAAGACTATGAGTGCAGCCCTGAAGATACCCCACTTTGGTTATTGTGATGAGATTGATTTGACTCAGCTTGTTCAGTTGCGAGAAGAGCTGAAACCTCTAGCACAAATTCGTGGAATTAAGCTTTCCTTTATGCCTTTCTTCATAAAGGTGAGATGTGCAGCAGAAGCACTGTATGGAGTACTTACACAGATTTTGCCAAAATCTTATCGATGATTGTTGGAAGTTTGGAGCACCTCTCTATCAATCTGAATAATTACAGGTCACAAGAACAGACTCAACTTTTCTTGTTTATTGAACCACTTGCCGATTTACTCTTGGAATTGTAGATAGGGTTATATAATATCATGGAATTTTTTTTAAATATTAAAGGGGAAGGATAGAGCAGATAAAGCATTTTTCATTATGGGGTTTAAGCAACAGTAGGTGTTTGAATTACACAAAACAAATTTTGGAAACTCTCAGTTTCAGCTCCATTAAAATGAACTTCATGTGAAATGCATCATTATTATTGTTACTATATTTTTGTTGGTGATTAATCCCTTAGGTAAATCAGTATGTCTCTTCTATTGTTCAGGTGAATGAGTATGTCTCATCAGTGAAGGCTGATGCACTGCCTAAACTAAGCATTGGATGCATAACTTAGTCTGAAACTTCTGGTAATGCTATTTCAATCAGAGTGCTAAGTAAGCACTGATTATACTCACTGTCGTTAGGGAGAATGAATATTAATTCCTTGAAATAATTGTCATGTAAGTGGAGAGCTGAGAATGACTTGCTGCTGAATCTTGTAACTTTTGTCTTGGGATATTTGATTTGAATTGTGGAACAGAAATAAGAAATGCAGATTGAACTTCAATTATATGCCTGTCTGATCTATATTTGGTTTTTGTAAGTTGTCTTTTTCTTCTGCTATCCTAATAATGACAGAATATCAACAGACAAGTTTAGGAGAGATTTAAGCCAAATTTGATTGCATTGAGGATCAATATTGTTACTAATCTAAACTGTTTCCCACCATTACTTCTTTTCCATGCAGCTCTCTGGTTATAAAATATAAAAATCTATCTATCTATCTATGTATCTATCTTTTTTTTTTTTTCTTTTATATTTAACAGGCAGCCTCTCTGGGATTATTGCAGTATCCCATTCTTAATGCTTCTTTGGATGAAAGCTGTCAAAATGTCACATATAAGGTTTGTAAACTACTGATAAAAGCTGTGAGCAGGAAACCTAAACTAATAGCTAACAAGGGCTTTTCAGAATGTCTGAGCTAATTGTAAGAACCAAAATTATGGTATGCTGGAAAATAATCTGTGTCCAGATTCTAAGATTGGATTTTATTTATTATTGATCTTATCTCAGTAGTTTGTTTCATGAGAGTCACTTTGTTATTCAGGCTTGCCTCAAAAAATGCATGTTAATATAGTGATTTTCTATTTTTCACCTGAAGATGGGCCAAGCATTTAAAATGAGAACATTTAAAATCTCATACAGTATTTTTTTAGTAGTGGCACAGTGGTTCCACTGTTCCAACGCTGAATCCTTATGTATTAAAGTCATATTTTAAACTCAGTTTTGATAAAAATTATTTAATTTTCATACAAGGTGCTGGATTGATACTTCTGGGCAGCAAGTGTCTATTTTATTAAGTGATGTGTACATGCTCCTTGCAGTACAAACTCCTTTTTTTACTGTTTTATCAATATCTCAGATGAATCCTTCTATATTCCTTCTACCAAAAGAAAGGCAACTCATTTTCCCTTTTTTTAAAAAATTTTAGTGCTCTCTTTAAAATTTGTTAGTCATGTTTTGTTACCTATACAATCATCATAAAGTGAAATATTTTCAGTGCAAAATTGATTCCAGGATTTTGTGTTTCCTGGATGTGAAATTGCCAAAATCAATTTGCACTTTGCAGATGTGGAAAGATAATATTTAAAAATTTACATCCCCTTCTCCCCTCAAAGGAGTTGCTTGCTACAGACAGCCTTTTCTAGATCAAAAAGATAGATAAAGAAGACATTATTCAAGTGCTTTTTTATGTAAAATACATTTTATGTTGACTGCTCATGTTAATATCTAGTTAATGAAACTTGTTGCAGGCTTCGCACAACATTGGAGTTGCTATGGACACAGAGCAAGGTTTAATTGTCCCAAATGTGAAAAATGTTCAAGTCTGTAGTGTGTTTGAGATTGCTTCTGAATTAAATCGCCTACAGTCCTTGGGTTCTGCAGGCCAACTGGGAACAAGTGACCTCACTGGGGGAACATTCACCCTTTCAAATATTGGCACAGTAAGTACAGGAAAAATGAGAATTTACATCCGAAAACTGCTTCTGAAATGAATACCTTAGTAAGGTTTAATATGCAATGAACAAAAGCTGTAGCAATTAATGCAAGAGGCAATCTGCTTTAAAAAAAAAAATTGTTAACTAATATCCACACCTTTTTCTTTTCTAGATTGGTGGCACTTACACCAAACCAGTGATACTACCTCCTGAAGTAGCTATTGGAGCACTTGGAAAGATACAGGTATATTAATTTTATCTCAGTGATGTGAGTGTTTAACTCTACCTAAGGTCACCTGTAATGAAAATGAAATGCAGAGTCTCCCTTTATTTTTCTTATATAAACGTTTCCTCTTTATGTTACAGAAACTGCATAGCTTGTGATTGAAAGGTTTTTGTGATGTTCTTAAATGACTGTGCAGACACCAAATGTTAATAGAAGTCTCTTATGCCAAAGGTTCAGATTTGTTTTTTAGAATCCTGTTACATTTCACTCCCATCTATGTTTACCCTTCTAGTTATTAAGAAACAACGTAAATATATTTTTACAAGTTTTGCAACATGGTGATAGCATTTTTGCTATCATCAGGGAGAAATCTTGAGACTAAAAAAATATTCTGATAATGAAGTTTAATTTCATGAGCCAGATAGCTGAATCCATACAGAACTTTGTATGGGCTTTTCTGACGTTCAGGCTTTAGTTCTTTAATATAGACACTTGAGATCAATGCTGGAAATGAAAATAGTATTAATTTAAAATACTTTCTGTATGTTCTTCCTATGAACCTTTTGTCAAGGGGATGTTTTAAGGAAACCATCAGTTTTAGCACAACAGTGCAATAAACTATTCAGGAAGAAACTTTTGAGTCAAGAAAGGTTTTCACTACTTTCCACAATGGTGGAAACAGGGTATGACTGTTTATTATGTAGCTTTGCAATATATTCTAATCCGCAGCACAAACGATAATGGGAAGGTCTTTGGTTTTTGAATGGCACTACTGGTGTCTAATTTAGCAAAATGTTTAAATATAGATTAACAAATTAACAATTAAAAAAAATACAGATTTATTAATGGAAGTATTTAATATTTCTCTTTTTTTTTTTTTCTTTGATTTTTAGGTTCTTCCTCGGTTTAATGGAAAAGGTGAAGTATTTAAAGCACAGATAATGAATGTGAGTTGGTCAGCTGATCACCGCATCATTGATGGAGCTACAATGGCCCGGTTTTCTAACTTGTGGAAATCTTACTTGGAGAACCCTGCTTCGATGCTGCTAGACCTTAAATAAAGGAAACGATGGCTAGAATATGCCTTTAAACTTTGTGGATTAGACTGAATAATGATAAAAGCTGGCTCTGCTAGCACGTGCCCTTTGCTACTTACATTATATAATAATTTTACGTGGTTAAAAGTTCTCAACAGCTGATATCAGTCTATCAATTAGTTGTTACTTCTTTTAATTAGTAGTGCTGTAATTTCTTCTACAGCAGACTGTCAAACTTCATAGGTCATGGCGCGGTTTCTGAATATGGTGATGAAATGTCTTTATTTTGCCTTTTCTAATACATACAGTTGTGAGGCTGGTGTGACTGAATGACACTAATCTACATCTGCAGTATTTATAATCTGATTAACCTGTTTTGAAGGGAAATACTCATAGTTCTTCTTTGTTGGACACATAAATTTATTTTAACAAATAATACCCAAATTCCCAAAAGAATGCAAAAATCATAAACAAATAAATGCCTTTTATGCTTCTGCTGTAAGATGTCCAGAGAGCTTTTTGTTGTTTAACTAAGTAAACCTCTCAAGTCTTTTGCTAGACCACTTTTTCCTGGCAATTGCTTGCACAAGGACTCTTTATCAAATTATAAATTAAGAGGCTATATTTATTCAGATGCTTACTGATAACATTTATTGATAACTATCAGGGCCTTAGTAATCTCTAGAATATCCTGTATTTTTATAGGCTGGAAGTAGTTGCAGTCCTTAAATACTTTCCAGTTATTTTTGTTTCTTATAGAAAGCATCTGTCTGTTTAAAAAAAAGGAAAAAAAAATCTCATTTATTATTCTGTCATTAGGTAAGGTTGATGGTAAGCAGAACGTGTTCTAAAAGCTTGCATCACCTTAGATTATTGATGTTCAGATACTAGAATTTGACAGATTAATCAGATACAACAAATTAACATTAAAAAAAAGTGCTATGCACGATAACTTTTTAAACTCGGATACAAGGCATATAACAAATAGGTTCAAGTTAATGCCTTCAGAACAGACAACAGTTATGTGGCTTTAAGGTAAACTTAAACAGATGGTGAGGATTGCCCTGGTTATTTAACAGGAGATACGAAGAAAACTGTTGGATATAAATACCTTCTAGAAACATAAGCTGCAAACAGATACAAGGAAAACACAGCCTTAAAAATTAATTTGTGATGCACAAAATGGACATTTTCTCCTTTCTTTAGATAGATCAAAAACGGCCTTTACAGGAGCATTCTCCAAAATTGTAGACCAAAGTTGTCTATTGTTATTTAGCTGCGAAGATGCAAGATGCAAGCTACCAGAGGTAGAATCTCTGCTATCCTTGATGCTGAGAATGAGCAAGAGGAAAGCTGGTAATGTAGGGGAGGGAGCATGGGAGCATACGTGTATGGTGCTATTTATATTTCTATTGTGATATTAGGGTCTTTTATATATAGGTCATTTCTTGCAAAGTTTGACTAATATATCGTGCTTATCACATTTCATTTTTAATCAGGTTTATTTATTCCTAATAAAAATTAAAGCCACAAAGAATTGTAGTAATCCTGGTTTTATTTGTGAATTTTATGCAGGCAATCCTGTACAGGTGACTCAAACAACTATTTCTTCTTATCTTAAAGAACCTAGTGTACTCAAGACTACCAAAAGACCACAGCCTCATGGCTACTTTCCTACAAGTACATTGTTATGGTAAGGGCTTAGTCTGAATAGTTTGGTTTTTTTTTAATTTGGTGACCATGTAGAAAAATTGAGGAAATATAAGTGTATGATAGAAAGTAATGAAGTGATTTTGAAATATTTGAGACAGAATAATTTTGCTCACATAAGGAGCCTGAAATTTCTTTTGACTCTCAAAACTCCAATAAAAGGGGAGATTATTTCATTTTCCTAGCTCTAATTATCTGTCTCTTTTAAGGAGCAGGAAATTAGTTAGGTTTTCGTTATGAGTTTTATAGATCAAGAAAGACGTTGATTAAAAAACACTGTGAGGATTGAATCTATACCAAAACTGAAAGAAGAAATACCTATGCCAAAGAACCTGTTGGATCATTTTTGCTTTTGCAAAATTAAAAAAACCCCAACAACAAAACCCCAGAACAACAACAAAAAACCAACAAAACCCAAACCCCATCAAACTTAGACGATTGAAAGCAGTTAGCGTGTTTTTAAATAGGTGTTGGTGTTCAGGTATTTAGTTGGTCGTGGACTGGAGAGGGTTTTTTTGGTTATAACGTTTTATGTGGTAATGCTTATTTCTACTGAAAGGGGGTTATAACCAAATGAACTATATTTTTAAAACTTCATCCTCACATTTTAGAATGCAGTACAAGAATTGGTTAGAATTACCTAGTTTTATGGCTTCTGCCTCAAACAGTGACTTGTGATTATTGCTGTCTCTCTCCCTCTATTTGGTCAAAGAAAAAGATTCTGACAGAGTTTTTCTTTTATCTTCTCCAAGGGCTCTTTAAAGAAATAGAATGTTAAAAATGTTTCATGATTGGAAGCATGAAAAGGGGTGAGTAATAACCCCTCTGCACATCCTGACAAAGATTACTGTTCTGTCTGGACTTTGATAATTTGTACTAAAATTCTTCAACAAGAGAATTCTTCAGCATGCGCAAAAGTAATGAGTAAAAGACTTAGTGATGTAATACTTCTTCTAGTCTAATTAGTCAATGTTGCTGTTTAATAGCACTTTGAAGCTCAGTGATCTTGCAGAGAAGCATTACTAAAGCAAGTAATTGTCATTCTGAATTCAAAACTAGCTTATTTTTCATTGTGGAGCACAACAAGTAGTCCTTTGTTCTTTTTGTTCACAATTGCTAACTTTCGTTAATGGGAGTCCAATCATGTTCAGCAAACTGGGAAGACATTAAGAGTGGTAAATGCTTGGGGGTTTTGCCGAAGTGCCTCATGTGATACCTTCTATTCTCAGCATAGGTTAAAATTAGAACTAGACTGACATTGAATTGGAGTGTGGGTGAGAGTTCTAAATGGTTTTGGTAGTACAGACAAGATTAATAATTTATCTCTGCTTTTACTCAGAAAGCAATGAGTCACAGAAAATCCCTGAATATACCAAATAATTGAGGTAAGTTGTTAAACTCTTTCAGATGCTTGGAGGTGAAGTTGTTGGGAGATCTGATTAGCTGGGAGTAAATTTGCAGTTGTTTTACAGCTGTGCTTGGGAATTCACTTCTGAATTGTTGACTGTGATAGCATGATGATTATGGGTTTTATTTTCCTGACAAATAAGATCTAAGAACAAGAAGCTTTTGATGGTAGTCCTGTTATTATATAATTAAATCTCCTTCAAAACAAAGTCATATACTTGGGCCCTCTTTCATATTTCATGGCTCTAAAGCAATATTTATTGAATAATATGCTTTGCACAGCAAAAGAGAGTTGCCCAGTGTGAGCTTTACTAAAAATAATTGTTGCTTCAACTGTATTGTCTGATACTGGTTTTAGTAGTACAAGTATTAACAAATGTCTCTTTTCTGCACAAGTTATATAAAAAGATTTATTGTTTTCTACCTAAAAAGGCTTATAGTTCAAAAAATGTCTCTAAACAACAAGAAATGATAGATGAGGTAAATCGCTTAATCTTAGTAGAAGTTTAATCCTGAAAAATAAGGCAATTTAAATTGTAACGACTGATCAGAGCAGAAAACCTCATACAATGTCTTGGTCATTACTGTTGCATACTGGGATGAGGAATGGGAAAGGTAATTACTATGAGAACCACTGAAAGAGAAGTTAATCCTTCAAACTAGTAAATGTGGTCACCTTCATGTGGGTGAGGG